GGAAGCATTCTCACTTCTCCATATAATCCCTGTCCTTTGTGTACCACTTTACGACCTAGAAATTGTTTTCAAACACAAAGGTGTTCTTTTAAAAGCACAAAGCTGACTACGTCACCAACACATACTACCCTTAATGACCTCCCATTAAACGTTGCGTAAACTGCTTCCCATCCTCATCTCGCCAACCCATTCCCAACCTTCTCACCCCCACTTCTTCCCCTACCCCTCTCTGAGCTCAAACCTCAATGACCTACTTCCCAGGCACTTTGCTCACCCTGGAATGTTCTCTCTTCCCTCCCCACTGAACTGCCCAGTCTCGGTGTAAAACTGATGCCTCTGTTATATGCCCTTACTATACTTGTCACAGCTTGTAATTATCTACTCATTTAGGAAATTATTGATGAAGATCTTCACTGTCAGTTTTTAGGAAAATAGGAACCGTAGCTAGTTTTGTTCACTTAATGGGGTTTCATTCTTTGTAAATCCTTTTTTACTTATGGGTGAGAAGTCATGGGAGAGATTACTTCTTCATTTTTCTCTTCATTGAAGAGCCAGGGTCACTAAGTAGTAGGATATTTTAAAATATATATATATACTTTTGTTTGTTTGTTTGTTTTGAGTTAGAGTCTCACTGTCACCCAGGTTGGAGTGCAGTGGCATGCTCACAGTCTCTGCAGCCTCAACCTACTGTACTCAGGTGATCCTTCCACCTCAGCCTTCCAAGTAGCGGAACCACAGCTGCATGCCACCTGTCCAGCTCATTTTTGTATTTATTATAGAATGAGGTCTTGCCAAATTGTCTAAGCTGGTCTTGAACCCCTGGATTCAGGCAATCCTCTTACCTCTGCCTCCCAAATTGCTGGGATTACAGGTGTGAGCCACCATGCCCAACTAGTAGGATACTTTGAACTAAGATTCAAAAAATAGTGAGTTTTAATTTTACTTCCCACTCTCATATGAATTCTCCATGTGACTTTGAAGCCGTACTTCCTTTGTAGCCTGATTCCTCTGCTATAAGAGTTTAAACTAGATGGTCTTGATGTACATCTTTCTCTAACTTATTATTCTAGGATCTTCAATAGACTAAGACAAAGCCGAAGAACTCAAAATTAATTTAAAAGACACAGGAAGGAAGCGGCTACACTAGGAAAAGAGAAGTCCTCATGGTTGATGAAATGTACATGCTGGTGTCTGGATCCCACTTAGGCAATTTAGTAACCTTGCAACCTTGGGAAGATTACTTAATCTCTCTAGACCTTGACTTCCTCTTCTGTAAAGTGTGCTAAGAATACCTACTTCACAGGTTTGATGAGTGGATTAAGTGAGATAATATATTACAATGCCTTAAACATGGTAGGTTGTTATGTTAAGTCCCTTCCTCCTTCTCCCTAACCGACATGGAATTTAAAAGCAGATTATAACTAAATAGGGCATGAGCTGAGACTAAAGGCTAAATTTTCTCTGCATATGATAGCTTATGTATGCTTTATTCCTTGGAAGAGGCTTTATACCACCTGAAAAGAAATAACTGCATTCCCCTGAAAATTCACAGGGAAGAATTGTGCTTTTCTCTGCATTCAAGTGATTTTTGTCAGACTCAACTACGCAACAGTTTTAAAGTTGGTTCCAAAGACATTTACAAATGTTTCCGTGTCCTACCTTCATGGTACAATGGCAAGACCATGACTAAATTTCACATGCAGACTCCACCATTGACCATGTACTCAATTACATTGGTCACTTTCACCAAGTTCCTGTATATCAAAGAGTAAAATAAGATTTTATTCGAGAAAAAGAGAGAGGAAAGATATTTCAAACCTTTTTTTAAAAAAAATAAGGACTGTAAAATCATTGAATGATAGGATTTTTGAGGCAGGAAAGACCTTAAGAATGATCTATTTCAGCTCTGTCACTGGATGGTGATAAGAGACTCAAGTATCTATATGCAATGGAAAGAGAAGATTGAACTTGAAATCAGAAACCTGAGTGCAAGTGCTAGCTCTGTCAGTTTTGAGACCTTGGGTTGGTCACTTAACCTCTTCAAGATCCTCAGCTGTGGATAATAACTACCTCTTGCAGGTGACAGTAATAACTACCTCTCGCAGGTGCAGTGATAAGGCAGTAAGATTGTATAGGTGAGCATTCTCTTTGAGCTCTAAAGCAATTTTCACATGACAAGCATCACCATGGTTCCCTGGATCCACAAGTTCCAGTCTTATAGAGCATATCCACTCACCTACCAACATATATCGTCTTGTCAAGCATATCTAATTTTGTGGATTATGAAAAAAAATGCTGATTCCTAGCAAAATCCATGGCACAGAATAAGCACAATATTTTTTTCTAAACGATGTAGACAACAATGATTAAAGGTTTTTTGAGCCTCCTCAGAGTTGAGAGGTAGGTGCCTGAAACTACTCTAAGTCCCTGTCACAAGACAGCCCTCAACACACATACCAGCAGATTCCTACTCAGTATGCTAAATCATCCTCTATGCCATCCCTAAAAGAGGTGATCTGGTCCACCTTTATTCACACTCCCAGAAAAGTAGGCTCCCCAAACAATTCAAGGACCCATCACTGTCTGAACTCATTCACCCTGTCCTTCTTTTAAAAACCAGTTTCGGAGAAGATCATGTGAAGGAAAAGGTTGGGTGATACTCTAACCCAAAATGACTGTTTCTCAACCAAACCGCCTTGAGAAATTCAACAACTACATTTGGGGGATTTTCTACAATACAGGAGTGAAGATGGTGTGAGGATGGGCATTACCACTGATGTTGGACCAGGGGTATTTCCCTGGATTACCAAAGAGGCACTGTATATTGTTCCCAGAAACTAAGTATTTTAAGGGTTTCAATGGTGGTCGTCTCCAAAAATTTCCTCCCTGTTGAAGTTTTCAAATCAATATTTTTCATAAGAACTATATTTCTTCAGTGAACTAAGGTGTGACTGAAGCCATTATCAGTGTTGTCATGATTTTTGTTTAGTTGCATCTCCATAGCAGCCCATATCACGATGTGCTTTGCAATTGTCCCTTAGTAATAGTCCCCCAAAGATCTGCAGGAGGTAGAGGGGATGACCAAGATTAACATTCTGTGTTGTCGAGGAACCAAAGTAAGCAGAAATGTAGGGAGTTGGCTGTCGTCACTGTTCTTACAGGATTTATCCTGAGACACCCAAGTTTCTGCCCCAATTTGGTTCTGCACTTATACTACCTACATTCAAGACACTAGTTATTTCTGTGGCTCTTGTTATGACTACTATAACACCAGGTCTATGATCAGGAGAATTAGACTGGGCATTAGAATCAAAATCGGAGGCCGGGCTCAGTGGCTCAGCCTGTAGTCTCACACTTTGGGAGGCTGAGGCGAGAGGATTGCTTGAGCCCGCGGGTTCGAGATCCACCCGGGCAACTTGGTGAGACCTCGTCTCTACAATAAATCCAAAACTAGCCGGATGTGGTAGCGCGCCCCTGTAGTTCCAGTAACTTGGAAGGCTGAGGCGGAAAGATCGCCGGAGCCCAGCAGGTCGAGGCTGCGGTGGCCAGGAGAGTGCCACTGCACTCCAGTCTGGGCGACAGAGTGAGACTCCAACTCAAAAAAAAAAAAAAAGAACCAGAATCAGAGATTTTGCACTTGAAATAGGATTTGACCGTCTAACATGAAATAGACCTTATGATCATCTAATCAACTCTATTATTTGATATCTTATGATCATGTAATCAACTCTATTACAGTTAAAAAGAACCAGGGAAGATATTTCATCCAACTCACACAAGCCACTTTACTCCCAGTTTTGTATATTTTTGCTTTTTTTTTCTCTTATGTTTCAGTGCCATGCCTTGCCTTTCTCTCTACCTTTTTTTTTTCTCTCCCCTACCCTCTTCTTCCATCCATTTCATTTATTGGTTTGTTTGTTTATTAGAGATGGGGGTCTTACTATGTTGTCCACGCTGGACTAAAGCAATCCTCCTGCCTCAGCCTCCTGGGTAGCTGGGACTACAAGTGCACACCACCGCACTTGACTTATTTCCTTTATTTAAAATTTACATAACTTCAACTCTAACTAGGAATCTGAAACATTCATTTGTTAAGTCTAGTGTTCTGCCACTTGAACTAGGCTGGCTTCAGGAATTATAAAGACCAAGAAAGTCTTTAATAATAACAGCAGGCAACACAAGTACTGTGTCATATGTGAAAAATCTATCCCTTGCCTTCACCCAAACTCTATTCCCAAACTCAGCCACTGGCTTCTAGCTGGGGCCTTGCCTATACCTCCAGAAGTCCACAGCTATCGTCACATGCCCTTGGGTTTATTCTAAAGAAGACCAGACTTCTCTTCGGGTTCTGGTATACAGCCACTTTACTGCAACATATCTAGGACTGAGAGTTCTCTCCTGAAGCTCTGTTACTGCTGTAGGAAATGTGTTGACAATATTCAGAAGAGTAAGAGGATTAAGACTTTTGTGGTCAAATATCATTTTTCTCTACCCTGATCTAACCAGGAGTTTTTCACTCCCATATACTGAGTGATTTATGCCTTAATCAAGCAAGTTTCCTTCTTCAGAAAGAATAGTTCATATTCCCTCAAATGCCACTCTTTAGCTGCCAGGGGCTGCCAAGTATTCCACCAATTCACATTTATCCCTGGAGCACAACCAACAAATTAAGCCAAAACACAAACTACAGCTACTGAGATCCTCTCCAAATCTAGCCACCTGAACTCCTGATTTCGAGATTTTTTTCCTTTCTCTCTCACCACATATTTTTAGAAAGTTGATAAGTTTCCTGCTCTTCTTCCCTTTTTCTAAGACTATGTTTATAATCTTATATAACAAAGCAGTAAATAAATGAACCAAGACAATAACTCCTGAAATATCTGCAAGCAATAGTATTATCAAGCATGCCATCTGTCATTATTTTAGCCAGTATCAAGTTGAATGAAACGTTAAAAAAATACAAAACAGAATTCTTCCCTGTAAATTCCCATGACGCACTTGTGGCCACGCCCACTATGGCAAAGAATTACAAAAGGCGAAGAAGCCTGACTCAGGCTTAAGGTTTCCAGCCACAGAGGGAGTCATTTCATTGGCGCTTGAGTCAGAAAAGGTATTGTCCTTATCATATCTATGGCTTTTAAAGGGTTGGTTTTTTTGTTTTGTTTTGTCTTTCTCTTTGGCTGTTTTCTTTCAGGCTGCCTTCTTTAAAGCTACAAGCCTCTTTTATTGTTTCCCCCTGGTTTGGTGTGTGAGTTATAATCCAGATTTCAGAAAATGATTCTCTCATTTTACGGTTGGGGAACCGAAGGTTGGCAGAACCAGCTTCCCTTGAGGGCATCGGCAGGTACAGCCAAGCCATCCTTTGGAAGGGAATCTCTACTACCAAAAGCTATTAGGAGAAAATTAAATGTTTTCAACTCTGTCACTCTCTTGCAGCTGTGTTAGGCAAATACCTTATTACTGAGATTTTTTTTGTTGTTGTTAACCGATTCAAACTTTCCTTGAATGCCTACTACGTGCATTGAGTTGGACATATAAAGAATAGCAAGATAAATAAAACATTCTAAAAGAAGTATGCAACCTCATAGAGGAGGCAGGTGCATATAAAAATAATTCAAGGGAGTGAGAAGAATAGGGAAAATGCTGAGTGCAGATTAAGCCGTTCAAGAAAGTTTCTCAAGAATCACAAGGCAGAGGTGGCTCCCCTTTCAGGCATCTGGCTCATAGGCTGGCTCAGCTGACAGTCACTGGTGTTTTCTGTTACAGAAGCCAAGATGGCCAAAGTTCCAGACCTTTTTGAAGACCTGAAGAACTGTTACAGGTAAGAAATAATATTCTGTCTTCTGTGATTGACTGAAAGGGTCAAGTCTCATCAGAATCCAACTAGGCATTACAATGACCAGCATGGGGTCAGGCTGGCAAAGGCTTTAGAGATATGTACTAGCCCTGAAGTAAGGGCCAGATTGGTTGAGAGAAGACACCGGAAGTCTAAGCATCCAGCATGTTAAACTGAGATTATGTTGGTAAGGAGACATCCTTTTTTAGAAAAATTATTTTTGTGGTCTGCTGAATTTTAACATCAACTTAGACTCAGTTGAGCTCGCACACTTTGATCCAGAAATGGGTTTCAATGGGCTATCTGAGGGAGAATCCATTCTCAGGAAAACTTGATCTCAGTCAGGAGTAGGAAATGGCTCCACAGCAATTTCAGCAAGTGAATGCATATCCACTGTCAAACCTCATTCAGACATAGAGGTAAACGAACAAAAAGTTAAAATTATGGAACTTTTCAATCTAATGTGATATTTCCATTGTCTATAATAAATACTAACACAAACTAGTCTGTCAAAATGTTGCCTGGATATTTTACCAAGTATAAATTATTAAATCTGTTATTGTGAATACATGAAAGCAATGTGTAACATGATTTATTTGATTACAACAAAAATGAGATGCTTCTAAAGCATTTATATTCTCTTAAGGAGCCTGATATTTTCCCCTGAAGTTCAGTTAAAGTTTTGTTAGTCAAGTTCAATTTTTATAGATTAAAGCATAGGTACAGTTCAAAACCTGTCCTGATGATTACTAATTTCAAATTAGTAAGGCATAAATTACTATGACTATGCATACATATAGAAGTCCTTACATTTCAAAGATGACATTAATGGCTCTGTGTGTGCGTATGTGTGATCCACAGCTAACATGGTCATTAAAATTTGTTGCCTAGAGACCATAGTGAAATAACAAACAGAATTACATTCTCATCATCTTATTTTGACAGTGAAAATGAAGAATACAGTTCCACCATTGACCATCTCTCTCTGAATCAGGTAAGCAAATGACTGTTAATTCTTTTTTTCGTCTTTGTTAGTGTTTTATTTTAAATATGTGGTGTACAATTCAGGGTTAGAAATACAAATGTTCATTATGCAGGTAACCTTGTTGATGAGGTGTGCCCTACCCCCCTTAGCCGTTTCCCACTACTGCCAATCCCTTTCTTTCAAGGTCTGCTTATGAGTGAGAACATATAATACTCAGTTCTTTGTTTCTGTGATAGATCACTCAATATTATACTCTCTAAGTCCTTCCAAGTTTCTGTGAAGTTCATAATTTTGTCCTTCTTTTAAGCTGCATGATATTCTATCATGTATATGTACCAAAATTTTTTTCCAGTCCTCTTTCAATGAGCAGCACAAATAGTTCCATGTTTTCGCTACTGTAAATAATGCTGCAACAAACATGTGTGTGCAAGTATCTTTTTCATAGAGTGATTTAAGTTCCTCAGGGTATATTCCCAGTATATTTAAGTGCCTCAGGGTATATTCCCAGGGGGATTGCAGGGTCATATGGAAGGTCGATTTTTAGATCTTTTAGGAATCACCACACTGTTTTCCACAGAGGTTGTACTAGGTTACACTCCCACCAACAGTATAGAAGTGTTCCCTTTTCGCTTTCCCCTACTGGGAATATACCCTTAGGAACTCAAATCACTCTATGAAAAAGATACCTGCACATGCATGGTCATTGCAGCATTGTTCACAATAACAAAAACATGGAACCAATCATGCTGCCCATTGAAAGAGGACTGGGTAAAAAAAAAAAAAAAAAAAGGTGCTACATATACACAATGGAATATTATGCAACCATAAAGAAAGACAAAATTATGAACTTTGCAGCAACTTAGATGGACTTAGAGACTATAATACTGAGTGATCTATCACGGTGTTCCCTTTTCGCCACATCCTTTCCAATATCTGTTGTTTTTTGAGTTATTGATGATGGCCATCCTGAGGTATCTCAGTGTGTAGCTCAGTGGTATCTCAGTGTGGTTTTAATTTACATTTCTTTGATAACTAGTGAAGTTGAACATTTTTTCATGTATCTGTTGGCTGCTCATATGTCTTCTTTGGAGAAGTGTCTATTCATATCTTTTGCCCATTTTGTAATGGGGGGCTGTTTGTTTTTTTTTCTTTTTGGCATGTTTGAGTTCCTTGTAGATGCTAGATGTTAGGCCTTTGTCAGATATATAGTTGGCAGATACTTTTTCCCAGTCTGTGGGCTGTCTCCCCACTCTCTCAATGGTTGGTTTGTTTGGTTGGTTGGTTGGTTTTGCAAAAGCTTGTCAGTTTGATGAGGCCCCACTTGTCTATCTTATCTCTTACGAGATGGGAGCTTGGGATTCTGATCAGGAATTGGTAGCCGGTTCTAACTTCCATAAGGATGTCTGCTGCATTTTCTTTCTTTTTTTTTTTTTGAGTTGAAGTCTCACTCTGTTGCCCAGGCTGGAGTGCAGTGGCACACTCACTGCCACCACAGCCTCAACCTGCTGGGCTCTGGTGGTCCTTCGGCCTCAGCCTTCCAAATTATTGGAACTACAGACATGTGCCACCATGCCCAGTTAATTTTTTGATTTATTGTAGAGATGAGACCTCACCAAGTTGCCTGGGCTGGTCTTGAACCCATGGGCTCAGGCAATCCTCTCACCTCGGCCTCCTAAAGTGCCGGGATTATAGGTGTGAGCCACCACGCCCAGCCTCTCCTGCATTTTCTAAGGTTTTATAGTGTGAGGTTTTATTTTAGGTCTTAGATCCATTTAGAGTTGATTTCTGTGTATGGTGATAGGTAGGGGTCTTGTTTTAATCTTCTGCTGTGGTCAACCAGTTTTTCCAGCACCATTTAATGAATAGATTCTCCTCTCCCCAGTGGTTGATGGTGGAGGTTTTGTCGAAGATGAGTTGGTTGAGAAATTGATGTTTTGCTTCTGGAATCTCTGTCCTATTCCATTGGTTTATATGCCTAATCTTGTACCAATACCAGACTGTTTTGATTATTGCAGCTTTATAATAAAGCTTAAAGTCTTAGAGCATGATACCTCCTGCTTTTTTTTACTGAAGATTATTTTGGCTATTTATGGTCATTTATGTTTCCATGTGAATTCCTGTATTGTCATTTTCAGGTCTGAGAAGAATACTGCTGGTAAGTTAATGGGTATTGCGTTAAATCTGTAATTACCTTGGGTAGGATGGACATCTTAACAATGTCAATTCTTTCAATCCATGAGCATGGAATACTTTTCTATTTGTTTGTGTCATCTTTGATTTCTTTGAGCAGTGTTTTGTAGTTTTTGTTGAAAAGGTCTTTGACTTCTCTGGTTAGGAAGATGCCAAGGTATTTCATTTTTTGTGTGGCTATTGTGAATGGGATTGTGCTTTTTATTTGGGTTTCTGTTTGTTTTTTGTTGGTGTATAGGAATGTGACTGTCTTTTGCACATTTATTTCATACCCTGAGACTTTGTCAAAGTCCTTTATCAGTGCAAAGGACTTTGACAAAGTCCTTTGGTTTTTTTTTTTTGTTTTTTTTTTTGAGTTGGAGTCTCACTCTGTCACCCAGACTGGAGTGCAGTGGCTGCTCCTGGCCACCGCAGCCTCGACCTGCTGGTCCCTGGCAATCCTTCCACCTCAGCCTTCCAAGTAGCTGGAACTACAGGCTCAGGCTACCACACCCGGCTAATTTTTTTTATTTATTGTAGAGATGAAGTCTCGCCAAGTTGCCCAGGTGGGTCTCGAACCTGCGGGCTCAGGCAATCCACTCACCTCAGCCTCCCAAAGGCACAGGATTACAGGCTGAGCCACCGAGCCAGGCTTCTCTTGTTTTTTTGAGGTAAAGAATCATGTCAGCTGCAAAGAGGGATAACTTAACTTCCTCTTTTCCTATTTGGATACTCCTGATTTCCTTTTCTTGTCTGATTGCTCTAGCTAGGACTTCCAATACTATGTTGAACAGGAGGGGTGAGAGTGGGCATCCTTGTCTTGTTCTGGTTTTCAGGGGAAATGGTTCCAATCTCTGCCTGTCTCGCAGTATGTTGGCTGCTGGTTTCTCATAGATGGCTTTTACTATTTTGAGGTATGTTCCATCTATGCCTAGATGTTCAAGGGTTTTTATATCAAGAAGGGGTGCTGGATTTTATCAAAAGTTTTTTCCATGTCTAATGATGTAATCATGTGGTTTTGTCTTTACAACTGATGATGTATTTAATTATGTTTATGGTCTTGTGGATGTTGAACCAGTCCTGCATCCTGGAGATGAAGCCTACTTGGTCATGGTGGATGATTTTGAGATGTGTTGTTGGATCCAGTTTGCTAGAATCTTG